CAGATGATACAAAGATTGGTGGAGTTGCGGATAGTGAGGAGGATGGTTAGAGGAAAAAGCAGGATATAGGTCAGGTGGAGGCATGGGCAGAAAAATGGCAGATGAAGTTTAATCAGACAGATGTGAAGTAATGCATTTTGGAAGGCCAAGTACGGGTGGAAATTATACAGTGAATGGCAGAACCCTTAGGAGTATTGATATGTATACGGATCTGGATGTACAGGGCCACAGATCACTGAAGGTGGCAGCGCCTTTAGATAAGGTAGTAAAAAAGGCCTATGGCATGCTTGCCATCGTTGAAAGGAGCATTGAGTAGAAGGATTGGCAAGTTATGCTGCAGCTGTATAGGGCTTTAGTTAGGCCACACTTGGAATATTGTGTACAATTCTGGTCACTTACCACTAGAAGGATGTGGATGTTTTTGAGAGGGTACAGAAAAGGTTTACCAGGATGTTGCTTGGTATGGGGCATTTTAGCTATGAACAAAGGTTGGGTAGTCTGGGTTTGTTTTCACTGGAATGCAAGGGGTTGAGAGGCAACCTGATAGAAATTTGTAAGATTGTGAATGGCATAGATAGAGTGGAAAGTATGAGGCTTTTTCCCAGGGTGGAGGAGTCAATTATTAGGGGATGCAGGTTTGAGATGCAGTGGGTGGGTGGGGGGGGCATGTGGTGGTAATGTTTAAAGGATATGTGTGAGGCAAGTTTTTCACACAAAGGGTGGTGAGTGGAATGTACTGCCAGAGGAGATGGTGAAAGCAGACACAATAACAGCATTCAAGAAGCACCTGGACAATACAATGAATAGGAAGGGAATAGAGGGATACGGATCCTGTAAGTGAAGACACTTTTAGTATGGAAGGGCAAAATGTGTCAGCACAGGCTTGGAGGGCCAAAGGGCCTGTTCCTGTGCTGTATTGTTCATATTTGTTTTTGTTCCTGCACTACCTACCACCTTTCTGCTCTCTCTACATTATGGTGGATGGGCAGTTACTGAAATCTGCAGCCTGCCTGCCATTTTTATATAAATAATTAATGGCAAGTGAGGGGAGATTGGCCGGGCAGTGTTACGAGCACAAGTTGGAAAAAGGCAGGAAGGAAGGGTGCACATCATTTGTGGGGTACCTGTGTGCATTCGGAGCACTTGCTCACACCAACATTCCCAGCACCGCCCTCAGGTGTTACCTCCCCAGTCTTTGATCCTTCCTGTTTGACAACCAAATCCCATCTCTTCCTCACCCCCTCCCTTGGCTGCCCAATTCCTCTCTGCCCTAAACGCTTGGAGGTTAACTCCCCTGGAATCCGTTGAAACTGTGTGAAAACCTGCTTGGAGTGCCCTTGGCCAAGTCTATCTGGTGAATCTTGCCGAGGGGTGTAAGTCCCAAAGTTAGCTGTTCAGACCACCCCAGCAGCACGTTATAGCTGAGGGGTGGGTTTCTTTATGGGGAATCAGGGCGGGGTGTGGCCGGAAGCAGTCTGTATCCAAAACAGCTGTGAGACTGTGAATGACTGTGGCAGGAGAAACTAAATCACCACAGTCCGGATCCACCCAATGCAACAACCCAACTCGCTCCTCCATTATCAGCAAATTGGGAAAGAAGTCTGGCTTCAAGATAAATTATGAAAAGATCTTGAAGGACCAATCACACCTTAGAACGATACGACAATCCAGTGAAACTGCAACGCGAGCCTATTGACTGTCTAAAGTCAAAAGCAACAGGTTTTGAGAGAGTTAAGTTCGCTGACAATCAATGTCAGAGCGAAGCTCAGTAGTCTAAACACACCCTTTGAGAATTCCACTAATTAAGGACTTGTAGAGCCATTGAGACCAAAAGGGCACGTACTGTTGACTGAAAACTGGGGCATCTTCAGCTGTGTCTGGCTTAGTATAACCTGTATGGAAAGTAGGAGAGGACCTAAAAGTTAATGTGTGACAAATTTTGAAAGGTCACTGGACTCAAAACATTAACCTTGTTTTCTCTTCCCGGAAGCTGCCAGACCTGCTGAGTTTCTCCAGCACCTTGTGGTTTTGTTTGTTTCAAATCTCCAGCATCCACAGTTCTTTGTTTTATTTTAATGAAACTGATCTTTTTGGATGCAGAGGGGTGGGAAATCCCTTGTTAGCAACAGATGGGTTTTAACTGCTCCTGGTTAACCCTCACCCTTGCCTACGCCTATCTCTGTATGACTGAGTCACAGAGAGAAGCTTCAATGCTCCACAAACTCCTCATACCCAGTAACTGTCTAGAGGCCCCTTAATCCCTGTCTTGGACAAGCAGCTGATGGATGGATACTACTGCAACTTAATGTAGCCCAGGCTTCAAACTGATGTTGTCAGAAATGACATTGCTGTGTTCCCTGCTCTCCTCAATTCAGTTGAAACACCTTAATACTGTCCCCATTGCTCACTCAGCAGTGTGAAGCAATCTGACAGCAAGTCGTATTGCTAAGTATGTAATGTGCAACCTTTACCAAGTGCATGAATGAGGGAGAGAGAAAGCCTAACATCTGTTATAGGGAGATGCTTGAATCAATTATTAAGGAGGTGATTTAGAAAAGCATAATACACTCTTGCAAAGTCAACATGGCTTTATGAAAGGGTAATTATGTTTGACTGTTGGAACACTGTGAAAAAGTAAAGTTGGCTAAAGAGATAAATGTAATATATTTTGGATTTCCAAAAGGCAACTGAAAAGGTATCATGTCCAAATTACCTCCTAAGATAAAAGCTCATGCTGTTGGAGCAAACAAATTCACACGGATTAGCCTTTTTTTGCAAGGGAAATGGATTATATAAGTAAGAAACTGTTGCCATAGCATTACAGAGACTTAGAGAGTCCACGTCTAGAGCCATGTGTACAGTTTTGGTCTCCTTCCTTAAGAAAGGATATAGTTTCATTGAAAGAAGTTCGGAGAAGGTTCATTACTGGGATGAAGGTGTTATCTTCCGAGGAAAAGGTTGAGCAGATTCAGGCTACTCTTTGGAGTTTTGAAGAGTGAAACGTACCGAACGTATATGTATTGAAACGTGTAAGTTCCTAAAGAGATTTGACAAGGTAGATATGGGAGTGGGGATGATTCCCTACAATTAGGGAGCAGGTCAAAAATAAAGGTTGGGTTTTAAGCCCAGAGCTTCTGAATCAGAAGCAGGGAAACCACCCCCTCCACCCCTCCCCCCCTTCCCCAAACTATATCACAAGACCTTCATTTTTCTGTTTCTGTTGGGGAGGTGTATATAAAGTTAGCTCAATACAGTGTGTGCACATGTTAAATTTTCTCAGTTAAATACACAAGTCTGTTATGTAAATCTTTACACAGCATACACAGCATGATCCCAAGCAGTTTCCTGCAATTTTGCTTTAATTTTCAAATAACAAAAAATAGTTTGTGCAGAATGTTACATCCCAGCTTTTGTTTAGCTACTGTTTTAATTGTTTGGCCTCACTGTATAATATACCAGTTCACTGCATCAGGAAATACGAGGGAAAACATTTAAGACCTTGATTTGTTCGATCACTCAAAGCACTTTATAACCAATAAAATGTTTCTTAAGTGTATAATCAATTGTTGTCATTGCAGGAAATGGTGCGACCAATTTGTGTAGAGTAAGAACCCACAAGCAGCCTTACAGTAATGTCGGTAACAAGATAAACATTGATCAAGGTAGTGGGAAAAATACCCCGTTCTTCTTTGGAATAGTGCCATAGGATCTTTTATGTCTTCCTTCGGGGGATGGTGTATCCTTAGTATAACACTCACCCAGCAGACCATCACTCCATCAGTACTGTGGTGGAGTGCTAGATTATATTAGGTTCTGCAAACTCTGGATTGGGCTTTGAACTCACGAGCTTCTGATTCAGAGGTGAATGTACTATCAGCTAAAACTTGAAAACACCTCAAGACATTAGATAAGGCGTAGTTGTGGCAGGGAAGGGGTAGTGCAACAATGTTAAAAGGTATGTTGGATCATTAAATTGCTAACACATGTCTTTATCAGGTATCTTTCTTTTACAGCCTTGTGAACTGCAGCTTAGCAGCACGGCATGTTGAAGCCCTTGGTGGAATCCTACAGCGTTGTCCCTTGCTGGGTTGTCTGGAGTAAGTCCAATAACTTCTTTGCAACTTCTTGAAACAGAAAACGTCCCTGCTCTGGGAATCAAGCCAAATGAATGAGTCTCACATTTGATCTGTGAGGGTGTGGGGTGGTGGGGCTGGTGATTGTTGTTTGGGATGGGTGGGTGTGTTAGTGTTTGTGTGTAGAACAGGATTTACATCATGGCCTGGATTTTTCCGATGGTCAGACAGTTGTTATTCCAATGGAGGGTGTGAATAGGGACCCTGCAGAATCCCCATTGTTGCACACTCCAAAGGAATTGCCGGGAAACTTGAATTTTCCTGTGGACAATTCCCATACACCTGGAACCCCCCAAAAATCCCCATTTAAATCGGAGACTTTGGAGGGTTCAGATGAAATTAAGTAATTGCTCAAGAAAAGTTAGATTAATAAATATGTAGTCTAACTCCCCTGTGACTATTCAACTGGCTCTGTACTTACCTCACCTGTCCCCAACTACACCTCCCTGAGACCACTTAAAGCCCCAGACTCTGACCTGACATCTCCAACCGCACCTCCATCTCTACCTCTAAGACTTCTCCAAACACAATATTTAGTTTAAATAGGTGAACCCTTTTATTTCACTTTCTGTCTCTCTCTCTCACTCTCACACACGTGCACACACACACGCGCGCATGCAAGCACACACGTGTGTGCATGCACATGCACACACACACACACACACACGTGCACACACTCTCTCAGAAGGGAAGTTAGAAAACACAATCTGTGCATGGGCTGTGTGTTGACTTTTGTGGTTAAGCAGGTTATAATGGGCCTTCCCTATCTCATAAGCAGCAGAAGGTTTCACTTTGCAGTAACATGACCTTTTCCTGTTGGTATTGATGAGCCCCCGTGACAGGTAGCGATAGCACTGGAAACCCACTCCATTGAAACATATTGACCTCCAACAAGAAAATAGATCAGGGTTATGACACAGCTGACTGATAAGCAACTGACTTCAATTAGTTGTTATTGTCCTTGAGCAAAATCTTTCACCCTGATTTGATACCCAAGTTCTCTAATTCTGTTGCAGCTAGTTCAGAATTTTAGCTACAATGTCTTTGCTAGCAGCAGTATCAATCCTTCCTGTGTTTTTTCTTTAGCTTGTCTGGCAATGAACTGAAAGACCATGGGCTAAGAAGACTTGTTGATATCCTCCCAGATTTTCATATCTCCAAACAGATTAAGTAAGTCTATGGGCCATTATTAATAATAGTAAGATAGTAAGAACTGCCGATGCTGGAGTCTGAGATGATACAGTGTGGAGCTGGAGGAGCACAGCAGGCCAGGCAGCATCAGAAGAGCAGGAAAGCTGACATTTCGGGTCGGGGTCCTTCTTCAGAAATTAATAATAATAAGATGTGTACATAAGATGTATGTCTGTGTATATAACTCTGAAAGTATTTGCCAGTAACAGGAAGCCCATTGTTTTATTCTGAATTGTACATCAGGCTTGAATTGCAGAGATACCTGATGCAATCTCTTTTCAGGATAGGTGTAAATTCAAAAACATTGACCAGTAAGGGACTCCTTAACAATCTGAAAATCAGTCCTAAACATTAAAAAGAAAACTACTGGTCCCACACTGCACTGATGTGGTCCATACTGGAGGACAGTGAGGAGACTACTACATGAGCGTTGGTCAGTTAGCTGCAGTAGAATTGGGGTCTGAGTCAAGAGTGTGTTGTTTCAAGTTTAAGGATGTCATTCCCATTCAGTCTATGTGGTTTAGGTGCCCAGTATACAGTAACACAGAGGAATACTGACATAGTTTACTGTGACTTGACTAGAATTTACTATACTTGGTGACATATATTGAGAAATACAATGTGTTTATGTATCCATTGTTTGTGTTCCTGCAAGCTTTTTATAATTCTTTCTTCTCAGCCTCAGCAACAATGGCATCTCAGAAGATGGGGTTCTCTGCTTGGCCTCACTACTGAAGAAATGCCCCCGGATGGTTGAGGTCAAAGTGAGGTAATCAAGAACAAATTAAAACCTTTATTAATGGAGTTAGTAAGTTATGGGTGTAGTTCACAAAGTGAAGCTCTGAGTCACTGTAGCCTTTTCATCTGACATTGATAAGGAGGATATCCCATTCAGTCAAATGCCCATTACAGAATGGAGATGAATAAATCACTTGCCTCTAGAATGTGTGCTCCACCTGAAGAAAGTTTCACACTGAGAGTACCAGTTAGTAGGCTTGTACTGCATTAATATACCAACAAATAGAAATACCGAGATCATTAAAATCTCATTTTTTATTAAAGATATTTTCAAAATCCTAATATGGAATTTTGTTAACCAATCTCCTCCTTATATGCTTGAGCATTTCCTATCCACCCCTCCCATTTGAATCAGTATCACCTATATGTGAAGCATCTGAATCTTCTGTCCTTTTCAATCATGCTGAGAATTGGTCATTGAAGCTAACAGAGAAGTGAGTTTCACAACAAAAAGGGTGTAAAGTTGGTCTCAGAGAAGGGTACAGCCGTGTTCTGCTTATCCTTACAATGCTAATCCAGAGAACATGAACTCAAATCTCACCGTGACAATTTGGGAACTTAAATTGTGTAAAGATTTGGACATAAAATGCTGATTTTGGTATATGACAACAAAGATGTCAGATTATTGTCAACCCTCAAGTGGTCCGCAAATGTCCTGTAGGGGAGCCAACCTGACATTCCTGCCCCATCTAACCCACATGTGGCTTCAATCCAGCACCAATGTGATTGAGTCTTAAGGACTCTGCACAGAGGCCTGGAAAACCTGTACTAACCCACTGAAAGGCACTAGCAAGAAGAAGACCTATCATTACCTTCTCAGGACAACTAGTGTTGGATAAAAAATGCTGATGTATTCCACATTCCAAGATTTCCTTTTGTAATTATGAGCTCTTGGGAGCTGTTTAAATATTTATTGAGAAAAATGATGAAAGGTCCATTGTGTCCACTACTGTGGCAATGTCAACAGTGCCCTGTTCTTCCGTCTTTACTTATTCCTTTTAATCTGATTTCACTGCCCCATCTCCATTGATTGCGATGATTTGTGCAGGATGCAATGCTACTTTACAGGAGCAAAGCCTGCATCCTTGACCACTGCCCATTCCTCAGTATGACCCAGGACAATGAGACCATCCCATAGCTGAGATCAGTTCCTCTCAGTAGTTCTAGAGTGCTCCTGGTATGTACTTAGGGACTCACTGGGAGCATCTCAAGGACTGGAGGTTAGGGTACCTGGTACAGTGGAGGTGGCACTGAATGCTGTGTAGTAAGCGCTACCATTTTCATTTTAACAAATGAGGGAATAAGGTCCTGTTCAGAAGTTATCCAATTGAGTTTCAAGTACAAGTCATTGGTTGTCCTGTAACAGGAAGATGACCATCTGGGAATAGGTGCTTACATTCTAATACTGACTACCAATGAACCTATTCCAAATGGTGCTCAGTGCCTGAAGCATTAGTGAGGGCATACAGTGCATTGTAGGAACTGTTTCTGGTTTATGCTGAAGTCTGCTTTATACGTAGGTTATAACTTGGATTGGTTAGACCAATGTTTCCATGGTGAAATTGCTCTGTGTTCTATGTGAGATACAATTAGGAGCCCAGAACATGGTGCACTCTTGTTCTGAAAGGTACAGCATGTTAGGGCACATTCTGGATGAAAGGGGCACAAACAGGGCTCAGAATTTAGCACCTTCTAATTTGTGGAGTCAGCATCCAGTGTTGAACAGTTTTATAGTTACTGGGGATTGCATTATGTTGGTAGTAATGCTGTCAGGAAAAGTGTAAAAGGCAAGCTCAGCCTTTTCACCACCCACAATGAAATCAGCACCATTTCCAGCAGCTAACAGAAAGTTGAATTCCTGCCAGTCTCCTCTCTTCCTCTTCTACCCACGCTGCACTATGTGCCAGGTCAATTGCTGTGACGGTCTATCATATTTAAGGATTCTAAAGGCAGTAGATTATGTAGATCATGACAAACTATTGTATCTTAACCAGAACACCAGGGCATGGCCTGTGCTTGTAGGGAGAGTGCATTTTAAATTAATCTCCGGAGATAATTCGTGCACGTCAATTTCAAGAACAGGCAGGTGAGGGTGATGCTGGAAGTATTTATTTTCAGGGGGTGCCTTTCAAAAGACACTATTTAGAAATAAGGTGCAGGGGTAATCTAAGACAAGGCATTCGGGTTTGGCATGTTTGGGAGCAATACATTACTTTGAACCTGTGCTGTCCATAGGTTTCCACACCAAGTGTCGTCCTCATCTCGTGTTTGGTTTTTGTAGACTAATTATTAGAGATTGATTGCTGTGAGTTGCCAACAATTCCATTACCACAACATGCATGGTACGACCAAGATGATAGAAAGTGAACCTGATAAACTGTGTTTTCAATTCATCTAACAATTCCTATGTTCATAAATTAGCTAATGGAGCTTTGTATTTTTTTTTGGCCTGAATGTTATATCATCAAGTTTACTTACCTGCTAGTCCATTGGTTATTGAATTTGTTAGTTGTTAAGAACAGAATACTTATTAACTTTATGGTTTCACCTAATCCCAATCCTACAGCCATGCACCAAATTTTGTTTTTCTCTATGATAGGACTACAATACTCATTCAAATGATCCATCTGAACATTGCACTATTTCAGTTTACCAAAGCTGTAGTATTAGGATTGAAGCCTTATGAAGAAGATATTTGAGCTAACCTCCGCATTAAATGAGTAGGAACCTCCACTACTGTACATTATTGGTTTATTTTGACAAGGTTATTGGTTTCAGAAACCTTGCTGATAAAAAGTGAACTACATGTATATGGGCATTTAACTTCAATGTTGTGTTTGTAATTTACTTTCTACAGCCTGAAACATGACCAGACAGTGTTACTTACATTTTCAGAACAGAGCAAGGACACTGAAGTGAGGTGAGAAATTCTGTACAAAATAAAAGTTTTATTTAAATAGATCTTCAAACTGTTCTCCAGAATAGTAAAAGGTAATGTTGCCGTGATCCTACTAGACAATTGGGCTGCATTCCCATTAAGAAGAGATGACAAGTGTTGGTCTAACCGGAGGGTCACCATGCCTCAGACGAGGGGCAAAGCTGAGAAGGAGAATCCTTCATGGTAACCTTAGCTGGTGTGGAAATTGAACCCATGCTGTTGGTGTCAGTCTGTGTTGCAAACCAGCTTTCCAACCAACCAAGCTAACTAACCCCCATCTCATACAGTTTTCCAGAATCCTGATTGCTAAACTTTTGCTTAAGGTCACTGATACTTGGCAATGGAAATCTTGGATTTTATCGTATGGATTTCTGAGAATCATACTGCTGTTTTAGGATCTATTCTTTGTCAGCTTCTGGTGATTTATGGAAACAAATTTTGCTCCTATTTGATAGGATTTAATTGGCATTTCCTGATATTTGGGGTTCAAGTTCCCTGATTCGGTCCATTTTTCCATGAAATTCATTGTTAAGTGATCTTTCCAAATACTTTTCTTTTTTGTGATGATTGATCATTTGAGTTTAAAGGTTGGCATTGATTTTGTTTCATTTTGCCCAATTATTGTTCAGTTCAACAAACTAAACATGCTGTAAATTGCGAAATGCACTGGAACTCATTCACAAATTATTATGTTTGAATTCAAATTGATTACGTTACATGTGAACAATCAGTGGACAACTTGAAGTTTGCATAATAAAAATTTTCTGACAAAAAAATGATGATTTGGTTGGTTAAGATTGGAGATGGTGGAACCATCACTGAGCTAAGATTTGGAAGCTGGCAAGTTTCCTGATTTGGAAAATAAATTCACTGGGAATTCCCTTAGGTTAGGGCAGGGGTGGGGGATGGAGGTGTGATGGTGGGAAGGGGGCGTGGTGGTGGGACATGGAGAATGGAATGTGTAGTCTTTGAACCCAAAATCTTGGATGTATGTGTGAAATGGCAGAGGCTGGTACAATTACAACATTTAAATGGCATCTGAATGGGTGCACGAATAGGAAGGGTTTAGAGGGATGGGGGACAAAGGCTGGCAAATGAGACTAGATTAATTTAGGATATCTGGTCAGCATGGATGAGTTGGACTGAAGGGTCTGTTTCCAGGCTGTATGACTGTATAAGTGCTATTTCCACTATTTACAATGGCCAATTTGGGAGAACTCTTTTGGAAACTCTCAGAAGTTATGCTTTCCCAGTTAGTTTTTTTTCTATTCATTTGTGGGATGTGGGTGTCACTGGCTGGCCAGCATTTCTTGCCCATCACTAGTTGCCCTTGAGAAGGTGCCTTCATGAGCTGCTAGCTAGTGAGTGGAATGGTTTCAGCCTTTCTTTCCATTTCAATTTAGGAAAAACTACTGTATAAAAGTCCAAGTGCAGGAAAAAAATAAGGTCAATTGCATCTGCATCAAGTCTCAATATTACTTTGTTGCTTTTGAGTTGGGATTTATTGCTTTTGATAACAGCCATTCTATTCTAAGCTCTTTCAAGTATAATAAAGGGCTAATGTTACAATGACTGGACAGTCCATTTGTTTTTTGCAGAGATGAGCTGAATACCCAGCCAATGGAATTTAGACTGAGTAGCACTGGAGATTCAAAGATCAAGCCTGTGCCACTGAAGAAACTGAGGTAACTTGCTTGAAGATGTCAATAAATGCTTCAAAAAAAGTAGCATAGATAAGTATCCAACGAACCTTTCTTCTTTTCTCAGGATTCCCCAAAGCGCTACACATTACAGTTTTAATGCAGGCAAACACAGTGAACACTGTATATTCTTCTCCACATCAGTGTACTCAAAAGGCACTACTTGAAAGCATTAATGGGACATGGAAAACCTTCATAATTTGTCATACATAGTACACCATGTGTTGCTCATATGGCAGAACAAATCACGTGTCTTTCTGGTTGCAGATTCCCTATTCTATTCTTAGTAAGTGCGATGCCGGGAACTAAAATTAATTTGAGGAGTCTTGAATTAGTAAAATCTGGATTCCCCAAAGATAACTTGAGTCAAGGCAATCCAACAAGTGAGACAATATCAAATCAAGAATGAAGTGGAAGCTTTCCCCTCACGAACCCAAACAATTGTGCATCATTATGCTGTTGTGTTGTATCACCGCTCACACTTTGCATGTCTGAGCCTTGGAAAATGTTCCTGTATAACAGGCCCTTGCACTGAGTTGTTCAGATGCGCAATCTATTGAGTGACCGTTGTCCTTCCTGTGCTGAACCATTTAAATAATCTTACCTTGAACTTTTTTTTTAGTCTGACCAACTGTTGTTTTCAACTAAAGCATTTGGAAGAGTTGGGCTGTACACTGGAGAACTGCAGTGATCTAGCAGAGCTGGAGTAAGTGATGGCAAAAGAGTATTATTCACCATTTTAATGTCGTCAAAGAGTTTGCTCTTGTTTCCATTATCAATTGTCTTTACAGCTTTATTTATCGATATAATGTTGGCGATCCTTCCGCAATATTGCTCCATCAAGTTGCAATAAATGCTCTGACATCACAGCAGCTCAACCACGTCGGATCACAAAGATAAAAGCTGTACTTTGTTTTAAGTTGTTACTGTAATGGCCTGGCCAACCTGGTGCCAGCAGAACCCTTTGCCCTGTATATGCCTTGTTCCTCTTAATTCCGCATGCTGCAGCAGGCTTTCAACACAGACATCAATCCATCCTGTAGGGACATGGTGTTAGGCATCATTCTGGCACAGTTACATTTGGGGCTGTGCAGAGACTGAAACAAACAGGTGTATTGCGCAACTATTAACATTTACAAAAACGCGAGACTTTAATATCATGCAATGTCACCTTTGTCACTAATCTGGGAGATGGGGTGCCTCAAGTAAAAATGCAGTTTAACACGGAAAACATGTCTATTTGGAGAAGCAGGAAGAGGCCCTCCAGATAAAGCAAATCATTTTCTTTGAGACCACTTTCTTGGGCACCATGCAGGGGCCTTAGGTCACCTGACAGCTGCCTGCTCTGCAGCTTATTCCTGCTTGTTTGGAGCAGGAACTGTGGCACTTATGTGATATCTGGAAACTAAAATAGCCTAAGAGTTATGCCGAGACTAACAAGAGTGTTTGCTAATTGTCCTCATCCACCTTCCTTCCCTATAATCAATTCCTGCTCTGGGTTAGAATGGAAGCCATCATCTGTGTGGAGCTCGGTGCTGTAAGAATTTTCATTTGCCTGTTCTCCATCTCCCTTCACCTGATCTTTCTTGATGGCTGAAAGCTGGAGAGGACTCGACTTCATCACCATGCTTGGCCCAAGATAAAGCATATCCCCAAACCGGTGTGAATTGGCAGTCAGAACATGTGTACCATAGGTGTGGGCTAGTGCACATTCAATGGCCTGATTCGCCATGGTGATTACCTGACAGTGAACATCAAACTCTATTGCCTGAGACACTCTCACACTTGAGAGAAGAAATTAGAGGTAGATGTGAAAGTCTTTTCCCTAGGGTGGGCAAAACTGTTTTCAATCTGAGAGGAGGAACATTTAAAAAGGATAGGAGGGGCAACGTTTTAACACAGAGAGTGGTTCGTGCGTGGAATGAACTGCCAGAGGAAGTAGTGGATGCAGGTACAGTTACAACATTTAAAAGACATTTGGATAAGAGCATGAATAGGAAAGGTTTGGAAGGATATGGGCCAAGCGCAGGTTTAGTTTAGCTTAGTTTAGGAAATGATCTGTGTGGACTGGTTGGACCAAAGGGTTTGTTTCCATGCTGTATGACTTGGTGACAGTATGAGCTGGGGAGTGAGACTAACTGCACTGATGTTGAAGAATCTCTAGTTGGAAGGCCGCCGTGGTCTACAGTACTAATATTCTACATTCTCTGCTCACAACTTGTTTTTCCTTGCAGCTTATCAAATAACTCACTTGGAGATGCAGGAGTTGAAAAGTTTGTCGAGCTCCTACCAAAGCTGCATGTTTCAAGACTAATCAAGTAAGATCATGTGAAAACCCAAGTGGTGTCCACGTGAGAGAAAACAGAAACTGCTACATCCATTCAGTGGCATTTCATATGGACTTCCAGTGACATATTTTATAGAATACATGGATTCAGCTGCAATTAAAATCTAAGCATAGCATGAGTTGGGATATATAAGTACTCCTGGCACAAGTATAAAGTCTAAATTTCACTACGTTTTACTAAGTAAAGATAGTGTTACCAAAAGTTGTATTTTATGTTGCTTTATCTATGTATTTTAGAACACTTGCTTCCCTGTCCCAGCAGAGGTATGGAATAGGAAATAGAATGGATTCTACAAATGGGTGTTTGACTTACAATGTACAGTTTGTCGGTTACTATTGATGAGGGTTGTGAAATAAAGTCCATAAAATATAATATTTATCTTTATATTGTCTCAATGCAATCACAAAGGGTTTATCTCCACTCTCAGTGACTACAAATCGAGCTAACATGAAAGCACAAGATGCAGTACTGAGTGACACCAGATGTATTTGGTGATCTCCTTGAGGTCATAGAACATAGAACATTACAGCGCAGTACAGGCCCTTCGGCCCTCGATGTTGCACCGACCTGTGAAACCAATCTGAAGCCCATCCAACCTAAACTATTCCATTATCATCCATATGTTTATCCAATGACCATTTAAATGCCCTTAAAGTTGGCGAGTCTACTACTTTTGCAGGCAGGGCATTCCACGCCATTAC